TTCGATACTCAATGCGACTGATGTCCGTTCGATAGGCGCGTACTGAACCCTAAGGCTCCAAGGGCTCCTATGTAAGGGTTTTTGGGCCCAAAGGCCTTTAGGCCACAGCTGCCCCCTCTTGGAATACAACCCTCTTCAGCATAAGCAAGTCCTGATAGTCGGCCATGTGGGCTGTCAGGGTTTAGGGTTTAGGGTTTAGGGTTTAGGGTTTAGGGTTTAGGGTTTAGGGTTCATGCTGGTGGCAGCCACGAACTCGTTTCGCGGCCGGTTTGGGGGGGCGTGCCTCTGGGGAGCTCTCCGGGCGTCTTGGGCTGACCCTTGGGGAACTTGCAAGGTGGGTGGACCTAGAAGCATTGCTGAAGCCTCCCTGCTACGGGAGCTGAGCCCTCGCCCTCATACCTTTCTTGGACAGCGATGGATAGGCACTGTAAGTTGGGACGTCCTTAATCGCAAGGCGAGTGTAGCTGTAGCTCTGAGAATAGCTGAAGCTCTGAGACTGCCTGAAAAGCCGTCTGATGCTGAAGCAGCACTCGCCGAGTTTCAGAGGGACCGAGGACAAGGCAGCCTTAGGCAAACAGCTTAGGGTTTAGGGTTTAGGGTTTAGGGTTTAGGGTTTAGGGTTTAGGGTTTTAGGGTTTTAGGGTTTAGGGTTTAAGGTTTTAGGCTTTTAGGGTTTAGGGTCTAGGGTCTAGGGTCTAGGGTTCAGGGTTTAGGGTTTAGGGTTTAGGGTTTAGGGTTTAGGGTTTAGACAGCGAGAACTTGCGCTGCACGCACTGCTTGTTGCCCACGGAGAAGGCTTCGGAAGTGTGGAGAAAGGCAACGGCAAGCGGTGGTGCAACGGCTGCAACCGTTTGGGCGTTCTGCTCTCCAGGAATTGTGGCTGGCCGTTGGCCGAATTTCAAGACCTCCCTAGTATCCCCCTTATACTAACAGTCCTTAGTAGGCATTATATATTAAGGACTGCTAGTACAAAGGGGAACCCTAAACCCTAAACCCTAAAACCTTCAAACCCTAACACCCTAAACCCAAACCCTAAACCCTAAACCCGAAACCCTAAACCCCTAAACCCTAAAACCCCTAAACCCCTAAACCCCTAAACCCCTAAACCCCTAAACCCCTAAACCCCTAAACCCCTAAACGCCTAAACCCCTAAACCCCTAAACCCTACACCCCATCCCAAACTATAAGCCCTCAAGCCTTCAACACCCAGGCTGAACATGATGATGATTGGTGTGGAGGCAGAGCTCTCTTTGCGGCGTGGCTGCAATGGTTGAAGGTTTAGGGTTTAGGGCAGTTTAGGGTTTAGGGCATAGGGGACGGTCCCCCCACTTTGTAGGGTTAGGGTTCAGGGCTTCGTGATTCAAGGATTGAGTTGAGAGTTCCAGGTTCTGAGGTATGGGACCTTTTGCCGCTTTGGCAGCTCGCGGTCGCTCGCAACTCACAAAAGGAAAGTTTTCAGACAAAAAGCACCCTCCTCCTCCAGCCCGAATCCCCACCGTGCATACTGGTTTGAGGGCTCGGGGTCATCGAGCTTTCATTGGGTAGGCTTTCTCGGGCATAGGTGTGTGCTGCTCCTTTCGTGCACCCCAAGCCCTGGGCCCTACGCCAACCTGTCAGGGTTTAGGGTTCAGGGTTTAGGGTTAAGGGTTAGGGTTTAGGTTTAGGGTTTAGGGTCTCAGGACCAAGACCAACGAGGAGGTGGACTGGGCCACCTGGGTCGAGAGGGCCTTTCTGGCGATCTATACCGCCGTGGCCCGGCAGGGGGATGCTTAGGTGGGCTGTGTTGTCAGGGTTTAGGGTTTAGGGTTTAGGGTTTAGGGTTTAGGGTTTAGGGTTTAGGGTTTAGGGTTTAGGGTTTAGGGTTTAGGTTTAGGGTTTAGGGGGATGCCTTTTTTTTGTTTAATTTGGGTTTAGGGTTGAAAAAGTTCAGTGATTTCCAGAATCCGGAGCCCTAAGCCCTATGTAAGCCCTAGACCTTCAGGGGGTTTAGGGATAAATCTGGGTTTAGGGTTTTGGGTTTAGGGTTTAAGGATTGAGGGTTTAGGGTTTAGCGTTTAGCCCTTTGCGTCCGAGGAAGTGGCCCTCCGCATCCTCGCGAAGGGCGGCGAAGGATCTTTCAGGCATTGTCCTGAGACCCTACACCCTAACCCCTAAACCCTATACCCTAAACCCTCAACCCTAAACCCTTCTGAGAGTTTTGAGGCCGCTTCTCGAGGTTCTCAGGCTTTGGGGTTTTGGGTTCAGGGGTTTGTAGGGTTTATAGGCTTGATACTGGTTATAGGGTTCAGGGGTTTATAGCGTTTATGGGTTCAGGGGTTTATAGGGTTTATAGGGTTGATTATGTTTTTGTAGGGCTTCTAGGGTTTATAGGGCTTCTAAAGTTGAACTGGTTGAAAGGGTTTCGAGCGTTCATAGAGTTTACTGCACGGGGTTTGGGGCGCCATCGTGAAGGTCAGATGCAGCATGTCGTTGTGGTAGTAGGCCTTCTTATCTTCTAAACCCTAAACCCTAGACCCTAAACCCTAAAGCCTAAACCCTAAACCCTAAACCCTAAACCCTAAACCCTAAACCCTAAACCTCGGGGCCTCTGGATCTCCGAAGTGATGAGTCGGGGGTAAAACAGGATTTAGGGTTTAGGGCTTAGGGTTTAGGGTTTAGTAAGGTTGGGGTTTGTTAGGGTTGGGGGTTTAGGGTTTAGGGTTTAAGATTTAGGGTTCAGGGTTTAGGGTTTAGGGCCACACAACTCAGGAGCCTTCAGTTGGGTTGACAGGATCAGCGTCGGCTTGGCATTTAGGGTTTAGGTTCCCGGGTTCTAGGGTTCCAGGGTTTAGGGTTCTAGGGTTCTAGGGTTCTAGGGTTCTAGGGTTCTAGGGTTCTAGGGTTCTAGGGTTCTAGGGTTCTAGGGTTCTAGGGTTCTAGGGTTTAGGGTTCTAGAGTTTAGGGTTCAGGGTTTTGGCCGGCCAACTCCCGACCCTAAAGCCTGAAGCCATGAGATCCAAGGCCTTTGCTTTCCCCGCGCCAGCTTCCACTTCCGAAACGCTGAAACTACCATTTGCTTATAAGAACCCCCCAAAAACACACAAAGTAAGAATCCCTCTATCCCTCTAGTGCCCTTGTAAGGAAGAGTCATTTTGTACTTTTTGTGGGTTTTTTTTTACGCAAATCGTGGTAAAGGAGCCCTATACTTGAGGGCCATGTCTACAAGAGAGTTAGGGTTTGAGGGTGCGCAGGAACTGCTGGTTCCTCCTCGACTTCTTCTTGGTCTGCATTGGCCTTCTTGCAACTCGGGGCACCATGAAAGGCGAGGAGTTGTAGTTTGCACCTCGAGTAGAGGGGTCTGAAGATGGTGTTCTAAACCCTAAACCCTAAACCCTAAACCCTAAACCCTAAACCCTAAACCCTAAACCCTAAACCCTAAACCCTAAACCCTAAACCCTAAACCCTAAACCCTAAACCCTAAACCCTAAACCCTAACGCATCCTAGCTCCCCGAAGCGGAAGAAGCCCAGCAACTCTCACAAGAGCTTCGTTGACCTGGTCTTTTTAGGTTTAAGGTTCCCTTATACAGTAACCAACCAACCAAGAAAACGGTGCCCTGTATTTCCCTAAGGGTCCATGTACCTGATAACTAATTATATACTTGGTCCCAAAAGTCCTTATATAGGAAGTACTTTCAGGCCCAAAGTATTCCCTATTTAGGTACATGGACCCTTAGGGTTTTGCAATCTTAAACCCTAAACCCTAAACCCTAAACCCTAAACCCTAAACCCTAAACCGGGCTACCACGGTGAACTCTGCCGCGTGCGGGCGTTTCAGGTTTCGGGGTTCCGGCGGTCGGCTTTTGAAAGGAAGGCATGGCAGCAGTACTCAGCTGCTTCCCTGGGTGGTGGCTGGAGCACCTGCCAATTTTTGTTTGGGGTTTAGGGTTTGGGGTTTAGGGTTTAGGGTTTAGGGTTTAGGGTTTAGGGTTTAGGGTAAAATTTTGGGGTTTTTCTCAGGGCCCTGGGAAGCGATAGGTCCTGGAAATTCTAGGGCAAGCGTTTTTTGCAAACCACAAAAGCGTCGCTCATCTTCGCACCTCAGACTCTATCCTCCACAACATTACAATAGTTCTGTACAGTAATATCGTAAAATCATAGTGGGGTTCAGGGTCTAGGCGTGTAAAAATAGACTAGCTAGAATCTCTAGAAAGTTGCCAGAAGAAAGAAAGGCGCAGTAAAACGGCTTGCCGACGTACAAAAAAACCATGGTGAAGATGCTTATTTGGCGCAGGTTTGCTGGGGACATCTCAAAGCCTAAGCCCTCAACCCTAAACCCTGAACTCTGAACCCTAAACCCTATCATGTGAAGCACCCGAGGCGCTTGTCGTCTTCCCTCTGCTGGGATCTGCGGCCTTCGGCATCGAGAAGATCCTAGCATCCTGCTATCACTTGGTCTGAGATTTTGATGATTGGGTTTAGGGTTTGGGGTTTTCCTGTCTGCGGCTGGAGGTTTGTCAATATTTTCCAAGTAGCTAAGTGCACATGTAGGGTTCAGGTTTTAGGGTTTAGTGTTCAGGGTTTGGGATTTATAGGGTTCAGGTTAGGGTTGAGGGTTCAGAGTCTAGGGTCTATATGGGGTTACCCTACTTCTCACCCCACGCATAACCACCAACAAATCCGATCCGGAGACCCGAACGATGACACACACACACACACATACTTCTGTTTTTGACGAGCCTAGAACCTACGAGATTCTTTGGAGCTCAAAAGGTTGGGTGGTTCGAGCCGCTGGAAGAGAAAAAGGAACAAGCGGCTACTTCATCCATAGTCCCTGGCGTTGGTGTTGTCATCCCAGAAAACGGTCAAAGCTTGCTGAGACAAGGTGGTGCGACAGGAGTGTCTGCAAGAATCTATAGAACTCCTCGACTCAACAGTAAGAAATTCGTGCGCCACCTCGTTCCTATGCCTTTCTTAAGCCCTCCAAGCAGAAAGGTTGACAGACCAAAACATTTTTTTGGCCATGCCGAACATTCCAAAGAACAAGAGCACTTCCGAAGCGACAACAGTGTCCGCACTCTCGGCTCATTGTGCTGAACGACGAACATGAACTTTGGCCCTGGATGTGGCGACTCTGCCAACGGATCATGAGAGAAGCTATTGTCTTTGCCGGCGGCGTGGTCGATCCGTTCTCCAGAAAGTGTGTGAAGGAGAGCAAGATGAGGAACCCGAAGCCCAAAAACCCCTAAACCCCAAACCAAGAAGTTCTTCGGATGACCTGGGTCGGCGCCATGTGCAATGCCTAGTCGGGAGCACTCCACCACGGCCTTTGCTTGCAACCTCAGTTGTACTGAAGATTCAGGAAGTTTTGCAGCCACTGGTGGATTTATCCTCTAGGGATTCCTGAGTAGTTACGAGGCCTTGTCTTGTACCAAAGCCAGGGGTAGTCGCGACGATGCACACCGCACCGACCAGAAACCCCAAACCGTAAACCTCAAAGGGAAAGGGTGACTCCAGCTAAGAAAACACACTTTGAGGTTGTTCGGGGTCTACGGCTGCTCCGCCTCGCACGGGCCCTGCGCATGGTCGGGCGGCTGAAGGCGTGTAGTTCGTGCTGCTTTTATCATCTCCCTACTGAGAAACAGCCTATAGGAAACCCTAAACCCTAAACCCTAAACCCTAAACCCTAAACCCTAAACCCTAAGCTGGTTTCTGACAGTCTAGCGCAGCCAAGGGTGGGCTTACATTTTTTCGAGGAAGCGGTTTCAGGGTAACAGCTTGGGGCTTTCCTGGATGGGGAAGGATGGGCACTGCGGGACATAACAGGGGCCAACTAGACATTAAACTCTAGACTCTAAACTCTAAACCTAATTTCCTCCTCTCGTGCTCATAACTAGGCCTTGGCAAGGAGCTTAGCCCTAAACTCCCGGGTCTAGGGTTTAGGGTTGAGGGCTTAGGGTTTAGGGTTTCAAGCCTCAATCTCCAAACCCAACACCATGAATCCCTACCGACGCCTTGCACGCAGCACCCGGAGCTGCGCAGGTTTAGGGTTTAGGGTTGAGGGTTGAGGGTTGAGGGTTGAGGGTTGAGGGTTTATGCTTGGGGATGGCTCCCGAGCCCGGAGCCCAACAGTCATGCGCACATTCCGTGTTTTTTTTAACATCCGTCGATTGACATGGGCACCACACTGCCCCCCCCCCCCCCCCGGTCTCCCCGACCCTTAATCTTATTCTCCTGCATATGACCCCAGTATATACCTTATGTAGTCCCTATGTACCTAAGCAGCCCCGAAACCCCATCCCTCGTTTCTACATAGGACCTTTATGTATGGAGTGGGAACTGCTCTTCTGTAATATATATATATATACTATATATATATACATATATATATATATATATTTTTTTTACATATATACATATATATATATATATATATTATGCCGGCGTAGACCCCAAACAGTGAGTAGGGCCAGAAAAGGCCAAAGAAGGCCAGAAGAGCACCGACACTCCCGGATTCGGCTTTGCACGCGTGTGGAACTTGGGGGCCAAAAGACCCAGCTGATGCTCATGATGCTCAACCCCAAAATCGCTACCCCATAATTGTAACCCCCGGCACCCAGCCGCAGGGTTGACCCTAAACCCCAAACCCCCCCTAAACCTGCCCCCAGGTGGTCTCACCGCGCGCACCGTTGCGGTCGGCAACCTAAGTGGCCCCCTCAGAAGAGGCCTGAAGAGGCCACGAGAGGCCGGAATTCGCGCGAAACCACAGCGGGAGCATCGAAATGCAACGGAATTCGCGCGAAACCACAGCGGCAGCATCGAAACGCAACGGAATTCGCGCGAAACCACAGCGGGAGCGTCGAAACCAATGGCCCCGTCCAACCGCGCTCGCGCCGTTGCGGTCAGCAACCAATTCCTTTACCCTGAACGTAAGAACCCCATTGTGCAAGCACTGTTTGGGGAATATTTCCTGAGTTTGCCGGAAGCCCAGATCTTTTATGGATTTTACAATCGTTTCGTTCCAAGGATTTCTAAATACCCTAAACCCTAAACCCTAAACCCTTAGTACTTAGTACAGCAAGGTTTCCTGGATTGCCGGAAACCCAGATTTGCGTGATTTTTTAGAATTTTGACACAATCCGTTCAAGGTCCATGGCACATCCTTCCTCTAGTCCCCTGATATGGGGGTCTACGATATTCAGGGTACCTTATTGGGGTCCTTATTATAAGGGGATCCTACTACTTGGGGGTCTATTTTAGGGGGTCCCTATTTCGTAAACCCCTTAACCCACCCTAAACCCTAAACCCTAAACCCTAAACCCTAAACTCATATGGAGTCGGAGGTCATCTGGCGCTTGGTCTACGGCCTGCTCACGGCGGGGCAGACGCTGGGTCGACATTGGCCTCCCTTGCCCAGTTCTGGCAAGTCTGGATTTCTTCGAACCCAAAGCGTTCAGCCGACAAGCTTTGCCTGAAGCCCCCCAAACTATGTAAAAAATAGCCCGCAACCAGTAAAGAGGGCGACTGTCCTCCATGTTTTTGGGGGTTTGGGTATTGGAGTTGAGGGAGGGTGGTTGCACGCATGCTCCGAGCGGTTTGATTACCGCTTATAGCTTGTGCTGTTCCTGTGAAGTACTTGCCTCAAACGCTACAGCACAGACCCCAAACTCGCAGCGTGCTCGAAGCCTGAATCGGAGGACGATGCTGTCCACGACCTTGCTCATTTTCCTGGTCCTCTTCATCTGTGGCTTAGTGGCAACCCTAAACCCTCAACCCTAAACCCTAAACCCTAAACCCTGAACCCTAACTCAGCAACAAAGGTGGCTGTGTGGCTGTGGAAATCATCACGAAGAGTGAGGACCGCTGCCGCGGAGTGCAGATGCCCAGACCCCTGGGAGGATCCAAAACGTTTATCCCCTTAAGGGTTTCCCCAGAATGACCCAATAACCCTAAACCCTAAGCCCAAAAACCATCAACCCTAATTAAACCCTAAACCCTAAACCCCTATAGTAGTATAGGGTACTATTTGGGGGCTCTACTTTTTGGATCCTCCCAGCGGTCTGGGTGTAGGCATTGTTTGGTCATGGTGTTGGGGCATGGCAGGCCTGATGTTAGGGTTTAGGGTTTAGGGTTTAGGGTTTAGGGTTTAGTGTTTAGGGTTTAGGGTTTAGGGTTTAGGGTTAGGGTGGTGAACTGAGAGGTTTCGGCACTGCAGGCGCTATTGTGAGCCTAATCATCAGTAAACCCGTGCACCTCAAGCCCTGAAACCCTACACCAGCCCTGCATATCCTAAACCCTTTCCTGTAAGCCGTGCAAACCCTAAACCCTATCAACCCCATGAACCCTCCAAACCCTAAACCCTGAACCCTAAACACCAAACCCTAAACCCTAAACCCTAAACCCTAAACCCTAAACCCTAAACCCTAAACCCTAAACCCTAAACCCTAAACCCTAAACCCTAAACTCTCAACCCCAAGCCCTGGACTCCATTTACCCTACGAAGCCCCTTGTACCCTCCAAACCTTCAGCCCTGTAACCGTACACCCTAAACGCTAACCCTAAACCCGAAACCTAAACCCTAAACCCTAAACACCTACCCTTCGCCCTCAGCTCATTCATGACCGTGCCTGGCGGAGAGGCCTTGAACCAGGATCCCGATGCAAAGCTCGTGGTGGCACGCCACTTTCAGCGTCCGGTCTCAATACGGTTTAGGGTTTAGGGTTTAGGGTTTAGGGTTTAGGGTTTAGGGTTTAGGGTTTAGGGTTTAGGGTTTAGGGTTTAGGGTTTAGGGTTTAGGGTTTAGGGTTTAGGGTTTAGGGTTTAGGGTTTAGGGTTTAGGGCCACTTTCAGCGTCCGGTCAAAAAACCTTGGGGACCACAGGGCTTAGAGGGTTTGGGGTTTAGGCTTCAGGGTTTGGGGTTTGGGGTTTGGGGTTTAGGGTTTAGGTTTAGGGTTTAGGGCGACTAGTAGACTAGGGCTTAGGGTCTTTAGGGTCCAAGGGCTTATGCTTTACTTTACGGCTTAGAGGGTTCAGGGCTTATGGCCTCCAGGGGCAGCCTTACAGAGCTTATGAGGATTCCGGGTTTTGGGTTTAGAGTCTAGGGTCTACTTGTTTAGGGTTTAAGACTTATAAGGTTTAGGGTTAGGGTTTAGAGTTCAGGGCGAATAGGTTTAGGGTTTCAAGGTCTAAGGGCTTTCCGATTTTGGGGCTTATAGTTTCGGGCGACATGCCTTTCTGAGCGTTTTTTTGCTGATGGCTTAGCTGCAGGCACTGGGAGCATCAATTAGGGCAGTGTAAGAAGCGTGTCCCTCCAAAACTACATCTTGGAGCGAGAGCCAGATGTACCGTATTAGCATAAAGCTCTCGCTCTCTCTCCCTCTCCCTCTCACCCTCTCTCTCTCTCTCTCTCCCTCTCTCTCTCCCTCCCTCGCTCCCTCCCTCCCTCCTCGCTCTCTCTCTCTCTCTCTCTCTCTCTCTCTCTCTCTCTCTCTCTCTCTCTCTCTCTCTCTAGAAAAAGCCCTCATCTATTTCTTGTCTTTATCTAGTACTAGATCATGATCTTTGAACCGCCAAGGGTTCAGGGTTTCGGGTTGCACTCAAAGGTGCAATTTCTTGGGCCAAGGAACCTTCCGACTTCGATCCTCACCCTGGCGCAGTTCGTGACGCAGCTCGCCCCCGTGAAGCCTTCAACCCTAGAGTTTAGGTCTTAGGTTTTAGGGTTATAGGGTTTAGGGTTTAGGGTTTAGGGTTTAGAGCTACAGGTTATAGGGTTTTGGGTTATAGGGTTGTAAGGTTACAGGGTTCAGGGTCCCGATCCACGAATTCGTAGGCAAGCGGTGACCAAGGAGAAAAACAAAGATGAGCCCAGACTTAAACGCTAAACCCTAAACGCTAAACCCTAAACCCTAAACCCTAGACCCTAGACCCTAAACCCTAAACCCTAAACCCTAAACCCTAAACCCTAAACCCGACCCCGAGCCCCCCAAAGCTCTTGGCGTCCTCGCCTCCTTCGGCCTTTGAGGCCCGAAAGGCTACAACTCCCCAACCAAAGTCCTGAAACCTAAAGGGTTTAGGGTTTCAGAAAGGGACCCTCCCCAGGGTTTAGGGTTTAGGGTTTAGGGAAGCCCCAAACAAGCCGCAAAACCTGCACCTCACTCGCAATACCCTGAAGCCTGAAGACCCTACTACCCCCTCCCCTGCCCCGGCCCAAACTGAGACCCTAAAACCTAACACATACAAGAGCGCTAAATACTGTCCTGTAGCGCTTACGTGATCCCTAACTATCCATCTGAAGTAGCTGCCCTAAACCCTAAATCCTAACCCCCATAAACCTTACAAACCCCTAAATCCCTTTTAAACCCCTACAAACCCCTACAAACCCCTACAAACCCCTACAAACCCCTAAATCCTGAACCCAAAACAACCCCCCAGGCTCGACTCCATTGCAGAAGTCTACTTCCCCATCATCGTGGCACAGCCCCTCTTGTTCATCTTCTTCCTTCCGAGCCTCGGCTAGGATACGGAGCTTTTTGTGGGCTTTTCCGGGGGCCCCAAAACCCTGAAGCCTAAACCCTAAACTCTAAACCCCAAACCCTAAACCCTAACCCCAAACCCTAAACCTCTCAACCCTAAACCCTAAAGCCCGAGCTAAGGTCTGCAGGGGCGAGTGGTCTGGCTAGGGGTTGAGGCCTAGGGTTTTTGGGGATCTTCCATTTAGCTTGGCCCCAGGGGCTTCTTCGCTATGCGGACTGGCTACCATAAATCGAACAGGCCGTGTGACAACAAGCTACCCAAATTGGCCCCATGTCGTGTCCCAGGATCGAAAGAATTTTCCCAGAGGGCCCATCTGTAGTAGCAACGTGGAAGTCAAATACAGAAGCCATGCTGACGTGTGCTCAGCCCTCGAGCCTTGGACCCTACACCCAATTCTCCAACAACACATGGTGCCCACCCACCCCCCCCCCCACTCCCTTCGCCCAACCCTCAAACCCCAAACCCTGAAACTTGCGATGCAAAGCCTATAGACCTCACTAAAGTGCTGGACTCCGCAACAAGAAGCCCAAAAACGGTAAGTCATGGCCACCCGCAAGTCTAGCTGCCCTACTTCTAAGCACGGCACCAAGACCCTAAATCCCGAAACCTTCCATCATATAGGGGTTTACTGTATTCGGGGGTACCTCATTGGGGGGTCCTTGTTTCAAGGGGGATCCTACTCTTTGGGGGTCCACTACAGGGGGTCCCGTCTTCTTGCAATGCCCAAAATAAGACCTAAAAGCCTCTAAACCCAGTTGCGTCCATGAACCTCCCAGTCAGCCGTCAACTCCCCAAGCTCACTGCGCCTGGACACAGGGTTTAGGGTTTAGGGTTGAGGGTTCAGGGTGCAGGGTTTAGGGTTTAGGGTTTAGGGTTTAGGGTTTTGCGTTTAGGGTTGAGGGTGGCAAGGATTCTGATGTTCGTCTCCATCACGCTGATGAACTTGGCCCCTTTCCTGGAAAAGCTCTGGTGACGCTTCCGTTTAAGTCTTCACGGGTTGATTCGAAACTAATTTTTAACTTTTAGTACCCCCTAATACCGATATAACCTTGATACAGCCATAAAAATGTAGTTTTTATAGGCCCCCCCCCCCCCCCCCCAAAACCCACCCCACAGCGGAGGGTTAACCCCCAAGGCCCAAAATGTTAAGGTTCACTGTCCCTTCTGGTTCAATCACGTTCCTCGGATTTGGGGTGGGTACAGCTACAGATTACATGTACTTGCCGAAGTGCCGAGTAAGTAACCGTGAACCTTTTGGGGGGGAGGGGGGGGTAACATTTCAAGCCCCAAGCGTAAACCCTTGCAAAACCCAAGCCCTCAGCCCTAAAAGTTATTTGAAAAGTTGCTTAGCTATGTTTTTTACAAAAAGGGAACCCCCCCCCAACCCCAACCCTAATCCTCCCAAAAGATGGAACCTCCAGGGCTTATAGGTGAAGAGCCCATGGAAACTCCAAGCCCTAAACCCTAAACCCTAAACCCTAAACCCTAAACCCTAAACCCTAAACCCTAAACCCTAAACCCTAAACCCTAAACCCTAAACCCTAAACCCTAAACCCTAAACCCTAAACCCTAAACCCTAAACCCTAAACAATAAACCCTAAACCCTAACCCTAACCCTAACCCTAAACCCACCCATGGAAACTCCAAGCTCAAGCCAAGATCACGGCGGTGCTGGTCGAGAACGCGTTAGAGTTCGCAGCCCACGAGGTGCGCTTCCCGACCCTCTACAAATTAAAGAATTCTTCCTTATAGGGTAATATAGGGTTTGTTTGTTTTTTTTTTGTTTTTGTTTTTTTTTTCATTTGGGGGGGGGGGGGGGGGGGGGGGCAAGGAAGTTTTTCATGAACAGAAGCGTTCTTAAGGGCTGACAAAACTCAGCCCGAAACCCTTAAAACCCACAGCGGTCTAAGTATGAAAGAATCTCGTGTGGTTCCATAGAAAAAACCACATCTCCGAAGACTGAGAATGTGTGCATTACTCTGTAGGTCGAAGAGGGTTTAGGGTTTAGGGTTTAGGGTTTAGGGTTTAGGGTTTAGGGTTTAGGGGAAGAGCTCAAGCATGAAGCCTTCGGACCTTGTGATGCTATTCTTAGACATGATAAGCTCAATGGCTCACTCTACGGTCTATCCGGAGCACCCCCAAACCGGCTTGAGGCCCCCAACTCTACTCTGCAGAGGTTTGGGTGTAGGAAGAGTTGCTTCTCAAGGTTTCTTGAAGGGTAGGTATAATGTACTGAATAGTAAAAGAACCACAGAAGGTTAAAGTGAGTTATGACTCTAGTCTGCCAGGCGGAGGCGGAGAGGATCAAGACGAAGCAGCGGGCGCCGCGACAGTTTGATGGCCCCCAAAACCCTCGAATTCTCCGCCCCCCCGCCCCCCCCCACGAAAGAAACCGAAGTCTCAAGCTGTATAGCCCTCTACCAGCCTAAACCCTAAACCCTAAACCCTAAACCCTAAACCCTAAACCCTAGGACACCCTTGCAATAAGGGCCCACGAATTTTAGAGGGCTCATGCTCCCAGCCCCAGGTAAAGGATGCGCTGCCCCAGCTCCTGGAGATCTTTAATGAGATCGATGAGGAGAGCCCCTACGCTCTTAGAGTTTAGGGTTTAGGGTTCAGGGTTTAGGGTTTAGGGTTTAGGGTTTAGGGTGACTATATCTTCGTAGCTGAATGAGTACACGTTACGCTTGTTGGGATACTCTAACCTCCCTATAGATTTGAAAGTGGACACTTCTTTTTTGGGGGCTGCCAGGGGGGGGGGTATGAACTCAGCAACTGAGATATAATGTAAGAATTAAAGGGTTAGGGCGGTTTAGGGTTTCAGGGTTTGTAGGGTGGCCGACTGGATTCGGCTTACCCGACTTTAAGAGAATCAGGTTGGTGCCTGTTTTTTTTGCCCCTTTTTTTGGTCACAAGAAGTGATCCAACAGGGCTGCAATTCCCCCCCGCCCCACATCCACATCCCCACACACCCTCAACCCTAAGCCCTAAACCTAAACCCGAAACCCTAAGCCCTATAAGCCCTAAGCCCTAAGCCCTCAACCCCCCCCGCTGCCCGTGCTGGGAAAGATAGGATGCCTCTGGCTGCGTCACGCACGACGAGATTCAGAAGGCTGGTGCCATGCCAGCGGCTTCGAGGGCTCGGGAATGTCGGGTCTTAGGGTTTTAGGGTTTAGGGTTTAGGGTTTAGGGTTTAGGGTTTAGGGTTTAGGGTTCAGGGTACGTAGGCAGGTGTTGGGTGCGGGCTTCAGACTTTAAAGGTCTAAGGCTTCAGGATTTAGGGCGCAGCCCTCAACCCTAAACCCTAAACCCTAAGTAATCCCTAAACCTTAAAGGCTAAACCCTAACCCTAAGTAAACCCTAAACCCTAAACCTAACCCTGAACCCAGGGAGTTCGTAGGCTGTGGGCACCCTGAGTCCTCGGATCAGAATTGGAATGCGTGCAGGTTTAGGGTTTAGGGTTTAGGGTTTAGGGTTGAGGGTTTTGGGTTTTGGGTTTTGGGTTTAGGGTTTAGGGTTTAGGGTTTAGGGTGAACCCCCACAGGCCCTGAAGCCCTTAGCGTTTAGGGTTTAGGGTTCAGGGTTTAGGGTTTAGGGGTGGAGGTTGAGGGTGTAGGGATTTTCCAAGATTCAATGACAACGTGCCCACGTTCAGGGAGGAGGCTCCCAGAAGCCCCTTGACACGCTTCCCAAACCCCTACAGGCTACACCGTTCTAAATGGCAAACTCCTGAGACCCTCCCTTATAAAGCCTAAGCTCTGCAACAAAATTCTCCGAACCTTTAAAAGCACAGAACAGCCCTAGATCTGGAGCCGAAAGGTTTCGGTGGACGTTTTGCCCCCGCGACTTCTCGAGACGGTCTCTGTGGCACATGGGCTCAATCCCCCCAAACCCTAACAACCCTAAACCCTAAACCCTAAACCCTAAACCCTAAACCCCTAAACCCTAAACCCTAAACCCTAAACCCCAACCAAACCCTGAACCCTAAACCCTGAACCCCCGACCCTTGCAAACCTTAACCTGACACCCGAAACCCTAAACCCTAGACCTTAAGGCCCTAAGCCCCAAGCCTTACAAGCTTTGAGGTTAAAAGTTCAGGCTTCGGGCTCGGAGCTTCCAGGTTGATAAGGAGAGGTCTGGGTTTAGGGTTTAGGGTTTAGGGTTTAGGGTTTAGGGTTTAAGGGTTTAAGGGTTTACGGTGTAGGGTTTCGGGTTTAGGTTTTAGAGTACTGGGGCTTGGGGTTTAGGGTTCAGGGCAATTGCTGGGGTTTAGGGTTTAGGGTTTGGTGTATTTCTTGGCTTGGGGCTTATCACCCCCTGTCAGCAACCATGACGAACTGAAACACTGACTCCTTTGTTGTTGGTAATGCTGGTCGGGAACCACTCTCGATAGATCCAAATCCAAACAACCCTGAACCCTAGACCCTAAAGAGGTTCGAAAATGCGGATTGGGAGTTGAGTCTACTGAGCCGTTGATGTGGGGGGGGGAGGGATTGCCAGCCACAACCCCGGACAGCCCAGCTTCTTGGGGTTTAGGGTTTGGGGTTGTTTGGGGGTTGCGGTTTGGGCTTTGGGGTTTATATCTTGGGGTAGCTGCATGGGCCCTTAGTATAGTCCCTTACCTTCTTTGAAGGGTTCTGAAGTATTGGCCAGATTGTAACTACTCTTGGAGAGCTTGAAAGCCCAAGCAGTGTTGCAGGCTCATGCACTCTGTTTAGGAGCTAGACAGGGTAGCCAACCCCAAAACGACTCCCCTCCCCCCAAAAACGAAACAAGACTAAACCCCAAACCCTAAACCCTAAACCCCAAACCCCAAAAACCCCAAACCCCAAACCCCAAACCCTAAACCCTAAACCCTAAACCTTAAACCCTAAACCCTAAACCCTAGGACAGCATGGGCGACCTCTTTGAGCTTCTGGACGTAGACGGCAGTGGCCGGCTCAGCCGCGGGGAATTCGTGGAGGGCCTCCTGAACCTGGTGCTCATGGACGTGGCCTTGCCTGCAAGTTTGGTGCTTTTGGGGTGGGAGGGTTTAGGGTTTAGCGTTTAGGGTTTAGGGTTTAGGGTTTAGGGTTTAGGGTTTGGCGGTTCAATTCGAGTTTCGGGTTCTCTGGTTCGGGTTTATGAGTTTAGGGTTTGGAGGCTTGGGAGGGTCTGGATGGAAGGTACCCCAAACCCCCAAACCCCAAATCCCAAACCCCAAACCCTAAACCCTAAACCCCAAACCCCAAACCCTAAACCCTAAACCCCAAACCCGGTTAATAACCAAGGACTCCAGGGATGTTGGGCATCGTCATGTCAAAGCTTTCCATGGCAGGAAGTAGGGCTGTTCAGGGTTTAGGGTTCTAGGGTTTAGGGTTTCGGGTTTAAGGAAACCCTATCGTTCACTAAGGAGCCTTTTTTTGGTAGCTCAGTTCAAGTTCCGTAACAGCAACCTCCTACACCGGCAGCCCTAAAGCATAGACCTTGCACCCTAAACCCTAAACCCCAAAACGCTAAAACCCAAAACCCTAAACCCCTAAACCACTAAACCCTAAACCATAAACCCTAAACCTAAACCCTACCGGCCGCGCTTCTTTACCGGAGCTTGTTGAGGTGCCCATCTGGACGATTCAGTCTCTGAAGCTCCTCCGACTGATTCGAGGCCAGGGGGCTTCAAGTGGCTTAGGGTTTAGGGTTTAGGGTTTAGGATTTAGGGTTTAGGGTTTAGGGTTTAGGGCTAGGGTTTAGTGGGCTTGAAATGTTTTTGTTTGCCTCCACCTCACAAAGTGTTTAGGATTTGTGCCGGCTCCGGGGTGCATCGTTTAGGGATTGTTTAGGGATTGGGGTTTAGGGTTTAGGGTTTAGGGTTTAGGGTTTAGGGTTTAGGGTTTAGGGTTTAGGGTTTAGGGTTTAGGGTTTAGGGTTTAGGGTTTAGCCGTTTAGGCCTTTAGGGTTTAGGGTTTAGGGTTTAGGGTTTAGGGTTTAGGGTTGGGTTTTAGGGTCCGAGAGTTTTTTTGTCTGCTGGGAGGCCAGACGCTGAAGTTGGAGGAGGAGCTGTTTGCTCTGAAAGTCTACGTTTCCAAAGACAGCTGATGAGCTACATTTTTCCCGAACCTACCAAGTCCAATGCTCCGTACGCTGTAAACCTTAAACCCTCTAAACCCTATGCCCAAAACCCTAAACCCTAAACCTTAAACCCTATCAACCCTATAAACCCTCCAACCCTAACCCTAAACCCTCCAAACCCCTGTCAACCCTGTAAAGCCCAAACTGCCTTCTGCCCACCTCTCTTGAACCCTCGGCACGTCGAACGAGCCCTCTGAGAGTGGTCTCGGACCCGGAGTGGGCCCTTGTTTCCTTTTTTTAGGGTTGGGGTTCCCTTATCCCGAAACCCTAAACCCTTATATAATCCCCTTAACCAAAAAGGGTTTAGGGTTTAGAGTTTAGGGTGAGGGCTCCTGGGTCTAGTGGTTGAGGCTTGGCGAAATGTCCGAGCCTCTACAAGTCTCACCTTGGCGATTTGGCTTTAAGCCCGGAGGGTCCCCTAGGAGTACTCTTCCTAAACCCTAAACCCTGCACTCTAAACCCTAAACCCTAAACCCTAAACCCTAAACCCTAAACCCTAAACCCTAAACCCTAAACCCCAAACTAGCTTAAAAGTAAGAAAGCACACGCTTCATAATGGGCTTTCCGGGTTGCTTCCACAGAAGTACTCCGAAGCGATCCTCGGTCTGACTGGAAGACACCTCAAACTACATCACTCCCGTGTCGTGTTCAGGGTTTAGGGTTTAGGGTTTAGGGTTCAGGGTTCAGGGTTCCGGGTTTTCAGGGCGTTTATCAGGTTTATTTTGGTTTGTTTGGGGTTTAGGTATTGCTTTGTTTTTGTTATTCTTGGGTTTAGGGTTAGGACGTGTATAGATTTTTCTAGGGTTATCTAGAGTTTACATAGGGTATGCAGGGTTTATTTGGGTTTTACAGGGTTCTTAGTTTTAGGGGTTTAGGCCTAAGTCCTAAGCTTAAGGGTTTAGGGGTTTAGGGTTTACTGAATTAGGGTTTAGGGTCCCCCAACATGCAAGACCCGAAAGCTGCCTTCCCCCAGAAGCTGCGTCTTCTATCAACATCCCCAGCTACCCCGGCAAGATGTCGCGGGGAGCTTCGACAAACGACCGTTTTCACAGTGACCAAAAAGTCGGGACTCATCCGGGATGCAGCGTGGTTCAGGAGTGCAAACATGGCCCAAGCTTCATAGGAGGTGTTGGGCTGTTGGGTTTTTAAGGCGGGGTAAAGGCTGCCTAGGTGGTGAGGGGATTGATGGTTTTGGGCTTTGGGGCCTGGAGGTTCTGCCGCTTTTGAGCCCGCATTTTTTGGGGGAGGGTAACACATGGTTCTCATTCCTGCCGGTGGGGTTTATGCTCGCTTCCTTGGGTAGCCACACTTTTGGCCCCTTAGTTGCGGTAGGTCGGTTGTGCTCTCTACCCGTGTGGGCAGACGTGGCGTTTCAATCCTTTACCATGTCGGCAGATGGAACCACAGTGCTGTCCACTGAAGACGTCCGTTTCTTCCACGAGAATGGCTTCTTGCTGAAGCCTGGCTTTGCGACATCGATGGTGGGCGCACTCATCCAAGCGGCCGAGGAAGTTCGCGACACCCCACAGCCGGAGGTCTATATCCTACTTGGGAGTTTTCTATTTTTGTTTACATCAAACCCAAGAGCATATGTAAAAGTCCGATGTTTATTGTTAAGGTTAAAAGGGTAGTATAGAGGTGGCGTACTTGCAACATTGGGAGCTCAATGCAGAGGGTCAGCGTGTGTTCTGCCGTGCCGCTTGGTAGCCCAGTGGTATCCTTTACACCTTTTTTTGGTTCTGGGTTCCCTTATAAGTAATCAACCAAGAAAGGGACCCTTGTTATGATCTGGTTACAGCGCTACTAAGGCCGAGAATTTTGTGAAGTACCACGACACGTGGAAGGCTTTTTGTCAGGGGTCCATCCAGACGGCTTGCAGTGAACTCTTTGGTGAGTCAGCAGTGCTCTTCAAAGAAAAGATCAACTACAAGCAGCCGGGAGTCCTTGACGAAACAATCACCTTTTGTTGGGAAAGTTTACCTTGTATTCATGTAGGCAGGTTTCGAAATAGGGGTCCTGGTTTTTTTTTGTGTATTTTTTTTTTTGTTGGGGGGGGGGGGGGGTTGGGGGTTCCATGACTTCTTTATGATTCGGAGCCTTACACTCAGGGTATATACCCGAACTGCCACCAATTAGACCCTTAAACCCTAAGCCCTTGAACCCTAAATCAGGAGGCGCTGGCTGGACGGCGCACCAGGACACGCCGGCCTACATCAGCATGGCGCAGGCAGTCAACAACCATAACTACCCCCATGAGTAATCCTCAAACCCTAAACCCTATAGACCCTAAACCCTAGAGGGTTTAGGGTTTCTATGTTTAGGGTTTAGGGTTTCGGGTTTAGGGTTGACGAGGATCACATCTCCGTCATGGTGACCTTGGATCCTCAAACGGAAGAGAATGGCGCACTTCAAGTTTGCCCCGGTCGCTGGGTGAAAGGCCAAGTGGAACTCGCAGAGGGTGGGATTATCAAGGACCCCTCTGACATGCATTTTCACACAGTTCCTTGGGACCAAATGAAGCCTAAATCGTAGACCCTAAACCCTAAAAGGGTTTATGGTTCCTACTTGCCTTAGTATGAACTATGTAGTAGTCCAGGGAAGATGTCCTCAATTTTCGGGTTCAGGGTTTCCTCAACTCTAAGTCCCAAACCTAAATTCCAAGGTTCTTGCCGAGCCTGGGGATATCATGTTCTTCACTGGCTACCTTCCGCACCGGAGCTTTGAGAACAAGACCACGCAGCAACGCCGCGCAGCCTTCTTGACGTACAATCCGGCTTCGCAAGGAGTTCAGGGTTTGGGGTTTAGGGTTTAGGATTTAGGGTTGAGGGTTTAGGGTTTAGGGCTACCCTGAGCCTTGCTTCACAAGGAGACTGGCATGATGCTTATTATGCTGAGAAGCAAGCGGAATCACATGGATTTAACATGGCTGAGAAGCTGAGCTTCTCAGGAGGAGTTTTCCAAGGCAGGCTAACTGCCTAACATAATTAGGGGCCGGAATAGTTGCTATCATGTTATTCAGGGTCCCAAATATAAATCTACTATAATGATCCCCCCCCAAAGACCTATTCTCATTATTCAGGCCCTGTGTTAAGCGCTACAAAGCGACCGTCACTGAGCGACAGGAGTTACTTGTTTTAACCTTGGGTGAGGGACCAGTGTGAGGGACCAATGAAGGATGGATCCCCACATCAAATCCCAATGCGTGCTTGTGTTTCAAGTGCCGCTCCGGCTAAGCTGTGGAGCGGCACATGGGTGGTTGTCAAAATCATGGTCCCCTTTTGGATCCACATTGTCTTAAACTGCAAGCCTTTTGGGCCAATTTGCAGTCTGCAAGAGTGGACAAGACGAGAAGTAAACAAGGCAGCACAGGAACTGCACGGGGACCCTAAACCCTAAACCCTAACCCTAAACCCTAAACCCTAAACCCTAAACCCTAAACCCTAAACCCTAAACCCTAAACCCTAAACCCTAAACCCTAAACCCTAAACCCTAACTTATGCATGGCCGAGAGCTCAGGGCCGGAGTCGCCGGAGTCCATTAAGGTCTGTTAGTATTAGGGTTTAGGGTTTAGGGTTTAGGGTTTAGGGTTTAGGGTTTAGGGTTTAGGGTTTAGGGTTCCAACCTCGACCCCTTGAAGTCGCGCCCAGGCGCGCCCGAGGATGCCCCGCCCACCGCGCCCCCTCTCTGCCATGGCCGTCGACGTCAAGGTCACGGGCTCAGGCCTTAGGGTGCACCTTGGGGGACAGTTTAGGGTTTAGGGTTAGGGTTTAGGGTTTAGGGTTTAGGGTTTAGGGTTTAGGGTTTAGGGTTTAGGGTTTAGGGTTTAGGGTTTAGGGTTTAGGGTTTAGGGTTTAGGGTTTAGGAACCCGAAAATTGGGGGTCGTATACCCTAGACTACTATGATTTCTGTGAAGGCAAAATGAACCCTAAGCCCTGTTGAATTCATTTGGCCCCCGCCAGAAACTCTCAAGCTCCCAAGAAAGTCTTCCTAGACACAAATTTGGTAGAGTCTCTTCGAGACCGCATCGCTTGGGCGGTTCTGGACAACAAGCCCTACTAATCCCCAAAACCCGTAAACCCTAAACCCTAAAACCCTGCGCCCTAGACCCTGAACCCTGAGCCCTAAACCCTAAACCCTGAACCCTAAACCCTAAACCCTAAATCCTAAACGCTAAAGCCTAAAGCCTAAAGCCTAAAAGCCTAAAAGCCTAAAAGCCTAAAAGCCTAAAAGCCTAAAAGCCTAAAAGCCTAAAAGCCTAAAAGCCTAAAAGCCTGAACCCTAACCCTGAAACTTTCAAAGAGAGCAACCTGGGAGCCCACCACCCTGACTCCCAAGTGAGGTGGAAACCGACTGCCCCTCCCATCCGCGCGACTTCGAGGCACTCTGGGAACCCTAAACCCTAAACCCTAAACCTTATAAGCCCTAAGCCCTAAACCCTCAACCCTCAACCCTCAACCCTCAACCCTCAACCCTCAACCCTCAACCCTCAACCCTCAACCCTCAACCCTCAACCCTCAACCCTCAACCCTAAACCCTAAACCCTAAACCCTAAACCCTAAACCCTAAACCCTAAACCCTAAACCCTAAACCCTAAACCCTACCCCCAAACCCTAAGCCCTAAACCCTAAACCCTAAATCCTAAACCCTAAACCCCAATCCTAAACCCTAAACCCGTGGCGATTGAGGGGCCCCTGCAAAGATCTAGCAAGCAGCTGCTCTTCAAGGCTTCTTTTATGTCTCGTTTAGGGTTTAAAGTTTAGGGTTTAGGGTTTAGGGTTTAGGGTTTAGGGTTTAGGGTTTAGGCCCACGGTAGTTTTCGGGAGGTTGGGGGAGTGGCAGAGACAGCGTTTTTGGGTGGTTTAGGGTTTGGTCAGTGTCGGGTTGGCCCGCCTGTTGCGCAGGCGTGTGCGCGAGCCTTCCGTGAGGAGCAGGCACAAAGCATCCCCCGAAACCCTAAACCCTAAGCTGTCCTAAACCCTGAGCCGTCCTAAACCCTAAACCCTAAACCCTAAGCCCTATAGAAACCCTAAACCCTAAACCCCTAGCCCAAAACCCTCGGTGCCCGCGCAGCCCTCTCCAGGCGTTTACTCTAAGTACTGAACCCTTTGACCCTTTCACCCCTCAACCCTAAAGCGGCTACAGATGTAAGGTCGAACCTGTCCCCCCCCCCCCCCCGCCCCCCCACCCCAAACCCTCATCGCAAACAAACTTCACCCTCCACGAGCCCTAAAACCTGAAAGCCCTGAGTTCCTGAAGGTCTGAAAACCCTGAAAACCCGTTTCTGAAAGCCCTGAATCACTGAAAACCCTCGACCCTAAACTCTTAACCCTATAGCGGCTGAACCACTCTTGTCAGGAGGAGTCGATGCAGGACTGGCTTCCCACCTCTATCAGGTTTCAAGCGGGGGTTAGGGTTGAGGGTTTAGGGTCTACGCTTTCGTTTTAGGTTTGGTTTAGGGTTCAGGGTTAGGGGGTTTAGGGTTTAGGGTTTGCTTCCCGAAGCTCTGCACCCTGTACAACCCTAAACCCTACGCCCTACCCCCTAAACCTCTTCGCCCGTGAATATGGACTCTGCCACCGTTTGTGGAGATGAATTTTCCATTCATTAAACCCTAAGCCCTGAACTTTTAACCCTAAAGCCTAAACCCTATAACCCCTGAACCCTAAACCCTAAACCCTAAACCCTAAACCCTAAACCCTAAACCCTAAACCCTAAACCCTAAACCCTAAACCCTAAACCCTAAACCCTAAACCCTAAGCCCTAAACCCTAAACCCTAAACCCTAAACCCTAAACCCTAAACCCTAAACCAAGACCAAACCCTACGCTCTAAACCCTGAAGACCCCTGCGTCACCAGGAGGCTGTGGACTTGATCAGCCAGTTCTCCAACCCCCATGGCAAGGCTCGGAGCTTTGGGGGTTATAGGGTTTGGGGTTTTAGGGGTTTAGGGTTCAGGGTGTCAGGTGCAGGGTTTAGGGTTTAGGGTTTAGGGTGTAGGGTGTAGGGTTTAGGGTTTAGGGTTTGAGTGGTGATGAGTTCAGGGTTTTTGGAGTTTTGGCTCTGTTGGTGGGTCCAGGTGTCCTTGGAAGCCAAGTGGCGCAAAGGGGCAAGAAGCCCTGAGCCAAACTTGGTCCCAAGAGCTCTGGACGGAACCAGGTAAACCTAGAAGCCCTAAACCCTAAACCCTGGACCCCAAACCCCAGAAGCCCTCAGCCGTTTAAGCGCCGCGCCCTGACCTCCTGAACCCTGCAGCCCCCTCCCCTCCTACACCCAAGAGCCCTAAAACCCTAAAGCCCTATAAACTCTAAAGCCCTAAACCCTAAACCCTAAACCCTAAACCCTAAACTCCCTGTCATTCCGAGGCTCTCAGGCGCGAACCGGTCCTTCCGGCTCCTGGCGAGGTTTCGCGGGCTCCTTGTTGGTTTTCGGGTTGAGGGTTACAGGGTTTAGGGTTATAGGCTTAGGGTTTAGGGTTTAGGGTTTCGGGTTTAGGGTTTTTGGTTTTAGGGTATAGGATTATAGGGTTCTCGGGTTGTCGGGTTATAGGGTTATAGGTTTATAGAGTTATATGGTTATAGGGTTACAGGGTTATAGGATTATAGGGTTATAGGGTTATAAGGTTATAGGGTCTAGTTTTTAGGGTTTAGGGTTGAGGTTCTAGGGTTTACGGTTTCGGGTTTCGCCGAGACAGGTAGTTCTGCACTAGCTTGGGTGGACCCGCAAAAGGTCGCCCGATAGCTGCGGCCCCCGCAACGCCTAAGCCCTAAACACGTCCTACATCCCGTTTAGGGTTTAGGGTTTGGGGTTTAGGGTTTCGGCTAGGGCCCGACACCCCAAGACCTAACCCTAGAAACTCTAAACCCTAAACCCCAAGCCCCAAACCCTAAACCCTAAACCTAAACCCTAAAACCCTAAACCCTAAACCCTACTAAAAAGCCCTAAGCCCCTTGGCTGCCAGGTGAGCTTCGATGCTTGGGTGCGCCGGGGTGCCTCCCCAATGCATGCCAAGGCAGGGTTTAGGGTTTAGGGTTTAGGGTTTAGGGTTTAGGGTTTAGGGTTTTGGGTTTTGGGTTTTGGGGTTTAGGGTTTTGGGTTTAGGGTTGAGGGTTGGGGTTTGGGGTTTGGGGGTTGGGGTTTGGGGTTTGGGGTTTGGGGGTTTGGGGTTTTGGGTTTTGGGGTTTAGGGTTTAGGGTTAAAAGGCTTTTGGTGGGAACTTGTTGTTGAGGTTTTTCGGGTTCAGGATTTTCGGGTTAGGGTTAAGGGGAAATGTGCAGTGTGGGTTTACGGCCTCAATGGGTTTCAGGACTGGCGGGGCGATTTTGGCTTTCGGGTTTGGGAGGCTTAGGGTTTAGGGTGGCTTAGGGTTTAGGGTTTAGGGTTTAGGGTTTAGGGTTTAGGGTTTAGGGTTTAGGGTTTAGGGTTTAGGGTTTAGGGTTTAGGGTTTAGGGTTTAGGGTTCAGATTTTAGGGTTCAGGGTTCAGGGTTTAGGGTTTGTCTCTGCATGTTTCCGTATAAGCTTAAACACGGCGAAGCCGCGATGGGCTCATTAAAGCAGTTACCACATATCTGATGGCCACTGCTACATGGACAACTGTGGTACTTCTAGAGCTATTACATGCACCGACTTTGCAGAAGGGTTGGTTTTATTAGATACAGACGGAGTCCAGGCCCCAGACCCTGAACCCCAACCAAAACCAAAGAGAACGGGATCAGTGATAAGATTGAGGGTTCAGGGTTAGGGGTTTAGAGGAAGTAGACCGGGTTGAGGGTTGATGGGATCAGGAGATATGCCCGGCTTTCCAGCTGCGACCCAGACTACTTTGCAGGGTTTCAAACAACCCCTAAACCCCTAATCCCCAAACCCTCCACCCTAAGCCCTAAGCCCTAAAACCCTAAAACCCTAAAACCCTAAACCCCTAAACCCCTAAACCCCTAAACCCCTAAACCCCTAAACGCCTAAACCCCCAGACCCCCAACCC